GTAGTGAGAACGACTCTGCATTACACTTACACCCCCTCCGCCGCCCCTGTGATCAACTTCGTCCAACAACATCCATCATTCGGTTGGATGAAACATTGTTGCCCTCGTTTGAACACTGCTGTGTGTTGGGTAATGTTGCCTGATGGTGGATGATGTTGGATTGAGTTTGACTTTAAGATTTTCATCCAGCATTGTGCAATATCAATGTTAGACCAACAATGTTGGACTCATCATTAAACGGGACGTCACCGAATTGTCAAAGATCAGCAGTTCTTCGACTCCCTATGTATGTCATGTGAAGATCTATGGAAACAACGAGGCAGGCCCGAGCGTGAATACTACACAAGAATAGGGACAATAAGGATGTCTAGACAATAATGATGTTTAAAAATATTTTAAAAGCATACCAATAGCTATAAGCAGTAAAATTTTACTGTTTTCACTGAAAATCTATTGTATAAAGTATTACGATATGTTTGTAATCTATAGCTGCAGGCATCCTTAAAATGCACGAGCGCCGTTTGCAGGCACGTTTGGAATTTGCGCAGACACATTTAAACTATACTGACATTTTAACAATATGAACGAGCTCGCAGACACCAAAATATATCAATTAGCTAGCTGCATGGTACACTCCTTCACCGACTAACCATGTGCATTCTGAAGGCCAGTTTGTGCAAAAATAATGTCTATTGTCTATAGGCACACGGTCGCAAAATGTGCTAATATCGCAATGAAATACGGGGCCGTAGTAATTGGCTAAGTGCTGTTACGGACTCCCTGCCATTAATTGTAATATAGTTATCTACAAGGCAAAGCTAATAAATTAAATTAAATTAAAAACAATCTTGTTTACTTGTTTACTAACGTGTTACAACTTGTGTTGACGAGCAAAGATTAAATGTTTCATCAGATACTAGATTGAACGTCATGCAACCACTGCATGCACAATGCATGCTACGTATGGCTTGCGCAAAAATATCTGGTGTGCGCAAGTATGTCTGAGTATAATATTAAATATGTTGAAATATATTGGCAAGAAAAATTTGAGTTATGTTGTTCTGCGTCAATTCGAGTCAGACACTTCGTTTGACTTTGACCCAGCTTGGCTAGTCGGCTTTGAAGGTGCGATAGACATTGCCGTAATGGTTTATATGATAATATCATCACCGCATCTTAAACTTTGTTTGTACCTGTGTTTGTACGTAGTTGAATAAAAAGTTATTGAAATTTGCTAATAAGAGTCATAACATGTATGTTAAGTTTACTGGTAAGCCACTGAAACTCAGGGCATCAGCATTTTTTGGTGATTGCATAAAATTTGTCAATGGATTAAAGTTGTTGACTTGCGTTGCGAATAGTCCCCCCCTCCCCCAATATACTCTTAGTTAAGGAGATTGGACCTCTCTTCCTTGTCTCTGTGCAAACTCACATTGAACCAGTGAACAAAACTATTCACTGATGCTACTATAAATAAACAATCCTCTCAATGACGTCGACCTCAAAATGCAATAATTTTCTGGGGGAGCACGCTCTCTCAGAGCCTCCTACATTGAGCCCCCAATCATAATTTGATTCCGACGCTATAATCATGCACACAAAGCAATGGAATAAAGTCAGAACAATGAAATATCATAATTACACAGTCGTTTAATGGTTGAGTTCCAGAAGTGATATCACATGTCATGATGTAGTTTTTATTCTCATTCTGTAATTAGATAGTACTAAGTCTCAGATTAACTGTGGTCTCAGATTGCACGAAAACTTGAAGTCTTGAACGTGATGCAATGAGAGATGGATTTGATTTAATGTTGATTGCACACTTGAAACTTTCAGATTAACGTGCAAGAAGGGGGCGGGGGGAGGGGGAGGGGGAGAGAATAGTCAAGAAAGTGATGCTACGGGTTGAGATACAACTACCTGAAACTGAATCTCTCAATACGCAGCTAGTGTCTTGGTCACTACCGAAACTGGCACTGACAGTTCGAGAGAAAGTGACGCAACTTTAATCATGATTTGTTACCATTGTCCATTGATCAGGTAATTTCATTACAATCTTACATGAACCTTTAGGCGAACTCCCCCAGCCCCCCTTCCCCTGAAATATGTTTGTACCAATATGTTTGCGTGCCCCCTTTGTTCTTTCGCTACGAGTGAACAAGAACACGTTAATTCTAAAATTAACTTTATTTTCCCGATTTGATACACAATAAACATTTGGAAAGCTCAAAACGTGAGTCACGTGATGTCATTGTACTCGCCAGTCACGTACTTGGTTAACAGCACAATGTCACCTGCTGAGCGATGTGATTTTATGCCGTCGCGACAATAACAATGTAATCCAGTTGAGAGAGCAAAATTCAAGCTATTTTGATAAATCTATCTAAATTGAAGATTCGGTGTAAACCTGAGTTACCTGACCGACATTTACTATATACAATGCCGCCACTCGTTTTTGCACAAATACGAAAACGTTTCGCGGAACTTCAAGTTTCACGCCGACTAAACCATATCACTCATCAGGGTGACACTGCGGCCTTAATTATAATCAGTTGCATACTGCGCCTTTAATTATAATCAGTTGCATCCTACGCAGTGCCGTTCATAGAATCACCATCTTATTAGATCACCTAGAAATGTCTTTTAGTTATTCTCATGTTTGAATGACGATCAAAATCATTCAGTTTTAAGATTGGAAAATAAGATAACAAGTTGTTAACACAATTTTAAAATACATCGGTCATTACTTTGTCAAAAGACGTGATACAACCGTAGATATCTTATATACACTAGTCACTAGATAGCACATCTCTTTTAGTAAAATTGAAGCCAAGAATATTCCAGCGGTTATCTCCATTTGAATAGATGGCGGCCATGTGAAGTTTCCCACTCGCTAATAAACGCTTCAATAACAACAATAACTTTCATCATTTGAATAGTTTGAAAATGTTTTGGAATAGGTTTAACTTAATGTTTAAGTTCCCTGTTTAAGAAATAGAAAACATACGAGTATTCTCATTTCATGGGAATATCCTGAGTCTGCAATCACGGCTTCAATTTTTGAATTGCAGAATAATTAGATGCACTATCTGGTGTATATAAGATATCTATGGATACAACTCGTACTTAAAAAGCAGACTTAAAAAGTGTAATTGAAAAGTTCAAGACGGTCGCCGATTGGTATTCTTGAAATTCAAACCACTGAGTCTGAGCTCAATGAGTATTTTAATTAAATGCAAAACAATGTTTACCGTTCCACTCCGGGAACGGTAAACATTTTGAAAAGTGTTTTTCTACGTTTCGACTAGATTTCAGTCATCATCAGCAACGAATAGTATTCCTGGATATGGCTAAAATCTATTCGAAACGTAAAATAAACACTTTTCAAGTTTTCAAAATGTTTACCGTACTATTGTTTTGTATTTCATTGTATTCGTCAGCTACGTCACGTCTTAATTAATTGCGTCAATTTTGACAAGTTGTTAATCAATGTTCAATATTACAATTAATATATTGTCATTGCCTTGCAAAAACCAAAAAGACGTGCTGGGACTCGTACTTAACAAAGTAGAAGTATAGAGTTTTACATTGCACATGACGAAATGACAAAAATACAAAATGCTAAATCCTAGCTTGATTATACAAGTTCACTTCTTCTATCATTATTGTTCAGCTAATTAAGAACAATTTGTTGTAATTCCATATTTCCACGGATATTTCGTATGCTTGAGCGAGTAAATTAAAGTGACGCAATCAACTTGAACTTGAAGCACAGGATTAGTGCACTAAACTTTTCATCAAATAGGTTACTGCGTAATGCGTGCGCAGAAATAATGACTCAGCGTAAATATGATAATTGATTGAACGTTCCTGTTGAAATGGATCACACAGCGAATTAAGTCTCTGGAATTAAGTCTTCCTCCTCCGCAGACATTATTTATAGTCTATTTATAATGTTCTTCGGTTGTCCTCGGATAGTTCTCGGAGTTAATCGCGATAGGGTGCCGGACAAAACTAACGCGGGCGAAGCGCATTATTTTTATCCAGCACCCTATCGCGATTAACTCCGAGAACTATCCGAAGAGAACCGAAGAACATTATAAATAGAATAAATAACCTCTGCGGAGGAGAAGGGAATTAAGTTATGTGTCATGCATAAAACCTAAAGGCAATAATTACGTATTCAGTTTACAGGGTGTCCACGGGCCTTTGAAATCCTGGAAAGTCCTTGAATTGAAAAAATATTCCCAGGACTCGAAAGTCCTGGAAAATCAGTAGAAATCCTTGAAAGTCCTGGAATTAATTTCCTTAACCTCCAGCTGTGCCAACATTAGTGATTTTGAAATTACTGAATAAAGTGAATTATTCGCTGGTTAAAGTCTAAAATCCGTGCCATTTTCAAAGATTTTCCCAGTTCTAGGTTCTTGAATTTACTGAAAAAGGTCCTGGAAAAGTCCTTGAATTTCACCTTCACCAAAGGGTGGACACCCTGAATTTAGTCTGCCCTGAAAAGTAAGACAGACTTTTGCTATAATTTCTCATCTCAAATTGAACCAAAATTTAAGGTAATAACAGAGAAAGCTAAGACTAGAACACTGAGTTCATTAAAGAACCTAGACTGCTGCTGCATATTTGCAAACAAAAAAAATCCTTTTTAAGACTTTCGGTTATATTACCAAGAGTATAGGCTTAATAAAGCTTTACCCAAAAACCTGTCCTAAGTTTGTGCTTTTTCCCACTTTCATTTTTAAAGAACAACATATTATCCCTTGAGTTGACCAACCTCGTTCCCAGTATCGTGCTTTTGTGCTTGCTCGTTCGTAATACATGTTCCAGGGAGTTTTCAGTCCAGAACTTCTATCTCTATTTTGATGGACAAATTATTATTAACTTCCGCTGTTAGCAAAAGTTCCCGTCAAAAACAGGCATGGTGGAAAAGACATGTGCGGAGTCTGCGTTTATACCCAGACTATAATACCCAGACTATAATACCCAGACTATAATACAAAGACTATAATACAAAGACTATAATACAAAGACTATAATACTCAGATCCCGGAGTCTGGTTATACCGCGAGTATAACCAGACTCCGCTTTTTCCACTTTATGCCCCCGATCAGGGCTGCCCAGAGCTTTTTTGGGGGCCTGGGGCAAAATACCCTCTTGGGAGTTTTTGGGGGCCCTTCCACTCCCTAAGTTGGCCTAAAATTCCCTTTTGGGGGCCCTCTTAATTAAGCCTGGGGCCCAGGGCAAATTGCCCCACCCTCTCGGCGGCCCTGCCACCGATAAAGTGGAAAACGTGGAGTCGCGTTAAAATCGAATCTTTAGGCAAAATAAACAATTTTTTGACAGATTCCGACTCCGCACTCCGTCTTTTCCACTATGCCTCAAAAACATCTGCCCAAGGCAGATGGTTCGATGGGAAACAAACAAGGTGTTATTAACTTCCGCTGTTAGCAAAATTTGCCATCAAAATGCGTATAAGTATTGTCAGTAATTGCGCAATGTATTGACCAAGTTCTATCCACGTTAAGAAGACTGTCTTGTCTACCTTTCTCTATCTTGGCTTGGAAGAAGCTACACATATATATAGCAAACCAAAGTAAGTGTATATATAATAAGTTGTGTTTGCGATATTATATATAGTTGCGCGAAATGTTTCACATAAAAGTAACCTTAGAATCATTTGGGCCATTTCATGCATGATTCAAGTTCTGTTTTCTTTTTGTTCATGGCATTATGTATTCTTGTAGGCTTAAGATCCGCGCTAAGTCAAGGCAGCATTTCCATTTCAAGCGCCGCGAAGATCGGGTTTAGTGGTGCATGCTAATCGCGTATAAGTAAATATTTGCATGCCTATTATCAAGTATATTAGTATTAGTTTCTTGTTATATTTATCGTAGTTTCTATAAAGCTTACTTAGTGTAGTTAGTTTCTTTCACTCATTGTATTCTAGTTCGAACCGAATTTCTATCTGGACGAAGCTACACACAGCTTTCTTCTACGCCTGAGGTTCTGAAGATTTTCCAAAACCGGTTCAATCTCACGATAAGAACATGACACGTGAACATACTCAATGCCTTTTTTGGCTAATTTTCGTCATTACAACATGCGAAGGTTTACTGCAGCAGGTTTGCCGAAGTGATAACGCTGTCCTTGGTACAGAAATCAACCTTGACGACCTAGAAGACAACTCGGCTTCGTATGAGGCAATCACAGATATGATCAAAGGTGCCCTGGTTGCGAATGGTGTGGTTGTAATTCGAAATCAGACGATGGACAGAGTTGGGCAGTGCAATTTCACCCGGAATCTGGGTCCCGTGATTATACTTCCCGAATCCTTCGAGGGCAAAGATCCAGAACCAGGGCTACGAGCTATTCAAAGGGTCACCAACTATTTCGACAACGGAACATGGAAGGGCGTTGGCCATTGCTTTGGATGTTATTGGCACAAGGACGGGGATTTTCATTCGGCCGATTACATAGCGAGTGTGCTCTATGCTGAAAGAGTGGTGGGACCAGCAGCAGCCACGATGTTTCTGGATAACTGTGCGGCCTACGACCTCATTCCTCCGGGCCTAAAAGCACGGATCCAGGACACAGTTTTCTGGGTATCGGTTCGGGACATCCCAGACTTTAAAAACGGCACGGAAGAGGATTTTGCCCTTTTCCCTGACTCAGCCCGACATCCTATATTCTACACTCACCCGGGCTCCGGACGTCGGTGCCTGTATATGACCAACACGATGCGGACACTACGACCCAAGAGTGCGGCCGAGATGAGAGATTTGCAGAGGGCCTGGGATATCATGGTCACTCAGGCACCCAAGTATCGCCACTATTGGGTAGCAGGAGATGTCGTCATTTGGGACAATCTCGCGGTCATGCACAGAGCAGGCGAGAAACGGCCCGGGTATTCTCCCCGAGATCCACGGATCCTCTTCAGGACACAATATCGCATCAGTAATTACTACTAGAGAAAATACTGAATTACATGTTGAATCTGATCTTTCCAGTATTCAATGAAGCTGTCACGTACACACGTAAAAATCTCACATCTTGTAACACATCTGCCAACAAGCCGTCAACAAGATGTATTCGCACTGCTTGTCACAAGTTGTCAACAGGTTTGGAACAGTTTGTTGACAACTTGTAACAACCTTAATTGTTGAAATTATCAGACTTGTTGCAAGGTTGTTCTGACAAGTCCGTTACAAGTCCGTTATGCTACCGTGGCCGGGCATATTTTTCAAGCTCGCCCGGTGTGGATATGCACTCAGAGTAACACCACAAATATCATATTCACCTGAGTACACTACACCAACACAGAAAAAATTCTTGTTACAAGTTGTTAACGGCTTGTTCCAAACTTGTTACAACAAACTGGGAACAAGCAGTGGGAACACAGCTTGTGAACAGACTTGTAACAACTTGTTTGCAGACATTTTTACGCGTGTAGTGTATACTTCACAGAATGACTTCTAATACCATTTCTGCCATTAATTAGAGAATACACTACATGAATTCTTCATGCATTGAATACAGGAAATATATCAACAAGGTGGAGACTTAGGGTTCAATTGCAAGAATTTATGCTTGTTGAATTTCCAGAAGGCCATACCAGGGTATTTCGCTCCCCAAGAGCAAATACCCTGGGTACGAGGTTAAGCGTTACAAGCTGAGAGCCGCATACTAGGCAAGCTCTTATTTCCCCAGTGACAGTTATGTGTAATTTTAAGCCTAGGCTGTGGAAAGTGGTTGTAGTCATGGCTTGCCATAAGAAAATGAAAGCATTTGAAACTGGAAAATATTTCTAAATTAAGATTGGACCCAATGATGGGGATTTTATAGGGAAACATGGATACATTAGTGGATAAGTACGCATAATTCTAGTACATATTTGATTGATTAAATTGTATTCCATTCATTAGCACGTCAGTAAAATATTTGCCCCACTCCCTGTGGAGTGTGGTTGGCGCGGACTCCAAATTCGCTACACTATCACTGATCTGAAAGTAAACTGGATTGGTTATCTACATTGTATTAAAATGACCCGAAAATCAGCTATTGTATTAAAATGACCCGAAAATCAGCTATTGCTTAATTAAGGGACCAAATGATAATCTTTCCAACGTATTTCTTGGTAGAAATTTATCGCTTGACATCTTTTCTATGTCATTAATTTAACAGCTGGCTTCATTGGGTTGTGCAATCCAGTTTATTTTCAGATCAGTGACAATAACTTGCAATTAGGTTTCAGCACGTTGCTGAAAAATTAATATTTTAAAAGTATGTTAGTATTTACAAAATATAGAATTACTGGTTCGCCTAATTTGAGCCCGACGTTATAGGTCCGTTATTGTTTGTGAAGCAGTCCTTCCCGTTCGCGGGCGTGGTTCGTCTTTTCCGAGGTTATCAAAACCCTTAGTGGTTTCCGACTCGGGGGTCAATCCCGTAGGGGTCATAGATTCGTCGGTAGAACTGCTGTTTTTCTGAGCCCGCGGTCTAGGGCGGATACTCTTGCCGCCATTTAACTCTAATAGCAGTCCAGTTTTTGGTGACCGCGAGAGATCACGGTTGGAACTCGACGACGGAGGAGGCGGAAGTTTCGCTCCCGGAAGTTGCGATTCGATATCCGGCATGGAGTACCGCTGGTCACTGCCTCGAGAGTCGGCGGGCGACTTTGTTCGGGTTTCTTGGTGGTTCAAGTTTCGGGGCAGCGAATCCGAAGATTTGCTTTTTAATGCATGTTTGGTCGCCCTCGTCGCGCGATCGTATTTAGTTCGTGAGCCTTCCCCCGTGTTGCTTAGCAACGGTGCGGTGCTTCGCGTCGTCTCACTCTCGGTGAAGACGGAGGAATCTGAATCTATCCTTTTATAGTAGACGCCGTCGACGTCCGGTTGGCTAGCGGTCTTGGACCAAGGTCGCCGACCTAGCGACTGTGTACGATGTTTCTCGGAAAGCGGAGAAAGATTGAAGAATCCGTCGCTACCCGACCCAGTCTCATCGCTGGAAATCGAGCTGCTCTTCCACATACTACCAGCGCGGTATCCGGTGAGGACTGGTTCGGCTTTATGTTTCGTGAATGAGACAGCTCGCTTTTTGCGCACTCCTTGTTCTTCGAGAATGGCCTCTTCTCTAGCGATGGCTATTGATTTGACATCAATTCCTGTGATAGCGACCATCAGTAGGCCTATATGACACATAGCAAGATCACAGCGCTTTCTTGACGATTTGCTGCGAAGACGGGATAGGGTTGAGGTGCTGCCCACGTCCGACATACTGGACGCACTGTCTTCGTCTGGATCTTGAGAAAAGAAATAAGTTTAATATATAGGAATACCAAATGTTTCTCTTGCAGGGCATACACGCGGGATGTTGCGAGGAATCGTAAAAATTACTAAATGCAATGTTTCCAAAGAAACGTTGTGATGCTGTAACGAGGGGCGAAATTGGATGAGTCGTATAGTCAATTCATGATAAATATGTACACTGTACAGCCACACAGTTGACTTCAGAGGGTACGTTCTGATCGTTCACATCCCAAATTCCCAGTGACAGCTCCCCTAAAATACTTTCTACCTCCCCCAGCATTTCCACTGAAATCCGTCCTTTGGGGGGGGGGGGGCTTAATGGCCGGGATGCTTAATAGACCCCCTCGTACAAAGAGTTTTACAGACGGGTGCATTAGAGGGCTGGGTTATTTGAGAGAAGAGGATTACGGGCTTACAGGTTTGGTTAAAATTTCTCACCTAAATTCCCCGTGCTTGCCCAGGCGCTCATGCCGTTGGACGAATTGGAGTCGAGATTCGGAGCTGAGGTACTGCGGTGTTGATGATTGATCTTTGGAGATTTTGATTTTGGAGTTGTCTTTGATTTGTCTTTCTGAGTCACTGAGCTAGGACCCCAGGTTCTGCCTTTCTTCTTTGGCATATGATTGACTTGGGGACAAGCACGATTCTCCGTTCGGTCGTCTGAAAAAAATAGGATCGAATAAAATGACAAACTTTCAGACATGAGTCATAAGGTGGCTGGCGCCCTTAGAAAGAGTTCGACTCGATCAGGTTGAGCTGCGTCCTTCGTAATTCAGATCTCAGCTGCAAGTAAGGATGACTGGCATTCGCCACAAACTTGCATAAAAACATGCATAATTTCCCCCCTGTTCTATCGACTATGATCATACACAGTGTACATTATGACTTACAAGAGAAAATCCTCAAGCGACTAAGATTCGGTGACCACACGGGCGAGTTGGGAAGTGATCCAGTCTTGTCCACGTCGGTGGCAGAGGTTGCCTGGACACCCATGATATGCTGGAAATCTAAAAATATCAAGAAAATATTTGATTGAAACAGGCAAACACTAAAACGAGGACTCAAATTACGCGGACATGAAATCTAGTCCAGGTCCTCATAGTCGGATTTGAAATATTACGCAACGTCTATATCCAGTCACTTAAGACAAGAAAAATTGCCTCCTATATCAATGTCACATATTTGCAATGAAAAGTGTTCAAAACCTAAAATCTCTTTGGCATTCCTCTCAAAATTACTTTGTTTTAGCTTTATTCTCTAGTTTATACAGTTAGCTACCTTTTTAAATGCATCTGCCGGTTGAGAAACATAAATGGTTATAAATTGTAAATTAAAATACAATTATCAATGATGCTTTAAAATTGACGCCATATTTACAACCATATAAGCAAAACTTACTGAACTTTAGACATCATTTTCTCTTTGGCGTATCATCTAAAATCTCTTCATTTTAGCATTATTTTACAGATAAAGCACTAAACATACTTTTTAAGTTTGTTTGCCGATTGAGAAACGTATCGAAAAATAAAAATTTTGAATTTAGTCATAACCTCAAGTGGTATATTATACACATTAGTTTTGAGCGCGTGTTACGTAACATACAAAAAAAATCTCCTCTTAATAAACTTTGACATCCACTACCTCTCACGCCAATAATACGCATTTGATTAGTTGATCGGGTAGATAAAACACATCTGAAACTCTCTGGGGTTTTCACAATACCTTTGGGATCGCTGATTTTATTTCTCAGTATCTTCTCCCGTCCCGACCATCTTAACTTCATTCGAAAAAACTTTCCTTTTCTCTTTCTCGGCGATGGCTTTTGAATTTGTTTCTAAAATATAAAATCACGTGGACTTTATTAATTAACTAAATTAATTATGTAATTAATTGAAAAACTAAATATAATTAAATGTTGTAGTAACTTTATTTCAAACCGAAACAAAGTCGAAACATCTAAACCCCGAACCTGTATGATGATATTAATTTCTCTTTCCAACAAATTCATTTCTCGTTCGTGTAATTCTTTCTCTCTCTTTTTCAAAACTTCGGCGTGGTTTTGATTTGCATGTTGCATTTTTGCGAGTTCCTCTTCCCTTGAAGAAAGTTCCTAGAAATGAAATAACAAAAACGTTTCTATAAACTGAGTTTTCAAGAAAATATTTTCGTAATGAAGTAATAGTCGAATAGGGATAGCTGAGATTTAATGAAGTTGCGACAAAGCTGGATTTGTGTACAGTTCAACATCAAACAAAGGCTTTCTATTTTGAATTTTTGTAGCTTTGAAGTTTGCCGGGCTTCGAGACCGTCCTATCGTGACAGAGTGAACTTGGGTGCAGGCTCACGAATAGACCTTTAAATAACGTCACAAATATATCAAAACTATACTCGACTGGATGGCATAGAGAACAGTGGGATTTTCAAAACAATGGAACATTCTGATCACTGGATAATGATTGGTTTTGTTTTGTGTGCTTTGAAATGTGATTAATATGATGAAGCAAGCTTATTCGAATGGTTGCATCTCTTTGACTTTGTTATGAAAACAAAATATGTGGAAACAAAACAGAGAGAATTTTCTTTTTGACATTTTGTATGTGTGTTTGTCCACTCGGATACAATGCTTAACAATGTCTGACATTGTGACTATATGCTAATGTTAGCTTATACAGCAAGCTCTACTGCATTCAGCTTTGTTTTATCTTTTGTTTTTCATGCTTGCGTATGCAGCTCCCGAAAACAGAATAAATTTTCTTATGGAATTTTAAATGCCTCGACTCTCAAGGGAATTTCAATCGCGAGCTGTCGCGCCTAGATTTTTTAGGCTGAGCAAAGCTGAGCATATACTTTAATACAGCTATCCGGTATTTGAAAGTGGATCAAGCAATTCTTGGTTCATCAGAAACAGAAAAGCTTATGGCACAGAAAAATTGTTCGAAGACTTCAATGAATCGACTAAAATCTTTGAAGTGATGTCTGAAGAGGATTATTTTGCTGTTGCTTAAAGAAGCTTTAGTGCACGTAAGTTCGCTGTTAATAATTTATTACTTTAATGGTTTATCAATTAACTTATAATTGTAGATAATACAAGGGCGTTTTATTAAAACAAAACGAAGCCAGCCGGCGGTTAAATACGAGTAATAAAGCAGAAATATGTTTGGGTTTCGTTAAGAGCAAAGCGATAGACATTAAAGTTTTTGTCTAGAATTTCAAAATATGCCCAGTCGGAAAGTTTTGGTTACACAAATTTGACCCACGGCCACGTGCTTTGGGACCGATTCATTCAACTGAAGAATAAATTCTTTCGCAAAACCAAAGAACTTTTATGATCCGATAATGTGATCTTTTGTTTGAAGGATTTAAAGTATTAAACGAGTTAATTTTAGATATTCTTATATTGTGGGACTATACAATGTCAATGATGAATATGTTGGCCATAGGCATAGACATAGGCCATAGCGTAAATGCTGATGGTTGACAGAAAATCGAATGTCCATCGCTTGCAGTTGTAGTAATATATCTGATCCAATATTTTGAAACTATTGAACATTGTATCAAAATCAGTCGATTTAGATCTTAAAGTATATAAACCAAGTAGGCCTGCAGAAAAGCGTCCGCCATTTTGAATTTCAATCCAATATTCCCGGCTTACATGAATTATTCCGATTTGTGTTATTGAATCAAATTATGCAAAATACTGAGTATTCACAGGAAATAAATTGGTGGAAATCATTGCATTTGCCAGCAGACGCCATATTTAATAACGAGAAAATTAAGGCAGATTCTTGACAATTGGGGAAATCATATTTGACCGCAATAGGGCGGTAGAATAAAGTCCCTTCTTCGTAAATTATTCATAAGACTTTACTTAAAATTAAAATGCTTAATTTGTTCCATAATGAACTAAATCTATCATTTCAAGTCAATTAAGAAAAACTTTTATTAATTTGGAATGCACGAATGAACAAGTTCACTTTCAGGCACCATGTTGTGTTGACATCATGATTAATTTATTAATTTTAATGTCAATGGCAGTGCATGGTAAATACAAGATGAAACCTTTCAAAACAGCGGTAAAATTATTTAAAATCTCAACGTGACTTGAAAGCATTTCGAGCGGAGCCCATTCGTCGGAAGGTATAAGTACAGTGCTGCCGCCATTTTTTGTTTGGGGCGGGGGACTTACTAACTTGTAAAGCAACAATTCTAGGGAGGTGTGGGGCAATGAACTCGTAAGATGGGTCGTTTTATAAGCACGATAAAACATTCGCATCCGAATCGGCTGCTCATGTCTTATCTAGTACATAGGAACCCAATTTTCTCAAGACATGAAACGGAAACCAGAGCGGCAGAGGATATTTTTTGTTGGGTCTCATCCATAGTACGATACTAATCGATTCAGCAAATCACGGAGTATTATTTAACCGGAAGTTGCTCTTAGCATACAAAATATCTACCTTTTCCCTTTCTTTTAATTCGGCGAAATTCTGGTTGATCTCAGTCTGCCAGTCGTTCTGCATCGTGCGGAATGATTCGTGTTCAGTTGCGATGAAATTCGAGCTTCGAATCTCTTCTAATGTTTTAATAATCTTCGAAAACGTCGGTCGTTCGTGAGGATCTTGGCTCCAGCACACTGCAACGAAGTGATGTTAAAATTACTGAAATTTATAAGAACAAGGTTTTACGACCGTTCATATTTAAGTTTTGCTAAGGTTTTATTGCCCTGAAATTGGTTTATGATTTTGGTTTTATAGCTGAAATTCGAGACTTTTGCTTATTAAAGCACCACACACGTAAAAAACACACAAGTTGTTACAGTCAGGTCTGCAAATACGTTGTTACAAATACGTTCACAAGCTATCGACAAGTTGTGTTCTCAATGCTTGTTCTTAGTTGTTGTAACATGTTTGGAACCAGCTGTTAACAACTTGTAATAAGCTTGATGGCATTATCAGACTTGTTACAAGATTGTTCTAACAAGTCTGATATAACAAGAATGTTACAAGGTTGACAACACAAGGTTGTAACAATATGGTTATATCATGACTGTACAGTATCAGACTTGTTGGAACAAACTTGCAACAAGTCTGATAATATCAACAAGGTCGTTACAACTGTTAACAAGTTGTTCCATACTTGTTGACAACTTGGGACAAGCAGTGCGAACACAACTTGTTAACGGATTGTTGGCAGACTTGCTACAAGATGTGAGATTTTTGCGTGTGTGCAGCGGTGTACCGTATGTTGCTATTCAGTATTGTGCTTATTATACTGTACCTCTCATAAGATCAGCGAATGCTTCGGGACATGTTGAAGGAATTGGGAGAGTGAGCTTGTTCATTGCAGTTCCATAAGCAATAGCCATAGCCTCGATCCCATGGTACGGCACTTGCCCAGTGAGGAGCTCCCAAATTACAACACCAAAACTAAAAGAAAAGCCATTGTACATGATTTACACAACGCAGTTTCACTGCAGATTGAAACGGTGTAAAGCCTGCCGCACTTGAGAGAAGCTTGCTGAGCTAACCGCCTCGCGTGGTGACCAGTGGGTTTAGCTATGCATTTTCACCGCACACCTTGAGAAAACTAGCAAGTCACTCTCGTGTGCGACAGGCTTAAGTTGTTGAAACAGCATTGATACAAGTCTGCTGCAGGTTTGTTACAAGTCGTGCGTTTCACCTGTGTACAAGAAAGTTTCACATAACGGGAATAGTAAAAACTAGCACACCTACCTCCACACGTCGCTGCCTTTCGAAAACGTTGAATGTCGGATGACTTCGGGCGCCATCCAGGCGTAGGTTCCAGCGGCACTCATTCGTGTCGTGTTCTTGATTTCTCGTGCGAGACCAAAATCGGTGATCTTTAAAACATTTTCCTTGTAATTTTTCTCGTCGATCTTCTTAAGTAGCAAAACTAAACAATAACATACTAGTTTATTAACGCGCAAAGGACCATTGGAAAATTGAATGGAAATAAATTGGAATAACGGTATGGTACAATGATGCCAAATCTTATTATTTGTGAATTGTCAAGTATTGAAGGTTATTTCTCCTATCTCAAGGGAGGCTTACCCCCTCCATCTCCCAAATTACATTCCATTCTAACGAAGAAGATTGTTGAAGGATTTTTTTGCAGAAGAAAATTTCGAGGGTAAATTTTTGTGCTTTTATTTAGACCTAAAGCTGGAGTAATACGGGCAACAAAATTGCTGAAACTTGCAACAAAATCTGATTTCAACGCATGTTAAGTAGAAATGTCGACACATGTTGCCTCGTGATTTCTAATTTATGTGTATAAACATTTCAATTAACATGGGTATAAATCAGATTTTGTTGCAAGTTGCAGCAATTTTGTTGCTCGTATTACTCCAGCTTAACCAGGAGCAGTTGCGGAAAATGCAACTATACTCTATAGACCCTCTGGCGGAAATCAAACCTGCGGCCCCGTGGCTGTGATTTCGGTGCAGCGCTCTAACCAACTGAGCTACAAAGTTTTTTTTATTTATTTAGCTTTGCCAACTAGGGCAGGGTCACCACAACAGCATATGCCAATTACTGTGGGCCTTTTTACCTAACCCACCCTGTCAACTTTCCCTGTGGGGGGAAACCGGAATACCCGGAGAAAACCCACGACTTCCGGCACAGCGTTGATTTTTACTCTTTTCACATGAGGACTGGGTTCGCATTGAAGAGTTCTCACTGAGGTTTGAAGTTTGAACCTGCGGCCTTAGAGGTGAAAGGCAAATGCGCTAAACCACTTCACCACCGAAGCCCCATAAGTTGTCTAGTTCTAACCAGTGGTTCTAACCGAAAATTCATGTATATAACCACAGTTGTTATGTAAGGATAGAATGGAACAATGGTTCCCAAGGAATTAAATTATATATGCGAGATAACTGGGCGGCAATGGGTCTAATCATGCGTTTCAATGAATTAACTGATAAGCTCTATTAGTTTGACAATAGTCAAGCAGAAAATTAGGCTGTTTTATGGTGATTAAAACTTGTTTACGCTCAAGGCAAAATTTTCAAATTCTGATCTTTTAGTTTGGAATTTCGCTGAAGTTCAGTATGTACATTACAATATATGTACCATCAAATTTCTACTGGGATGTTTGTGGCAGAGTGGTAAATATGTGTACATGTGTTTTGCATGTAGTTTGAGTCTTATACAATCGCCTGATTGCAGTTTCGAGAGTATTATACAATCGAGAGTATTATACAATCGCCTGATTGCAGTTTCGCCTTGCCCTTACTCCTTAGACTGACTTAGTTGTTTGTGAGAATGAATGTATTAAACAGGTTTCAAGAGATGGCTCTTACTGGACCTCTACGCTCAGAGAAAACAGTTTAGAAATGAAAGAACTATTTAGTTTAAAGGTCGGGATCACCCATATTCAAGTCGCCACGCCAAATATCAAATTGCCGTTTTGGCAAAATGAACGATTTTAAAAATCTTACTATATAACGTGCTGTTTGCCACGTTTGACGTTTTCAAGTCTGTGTGGGTTTAGATAAAACTTAAAAGATCTAGCTCAATATAGCTCTTGTTGCTATTGAAAAGTAAATTGCCTGCACTAATTCCCCACTGCCAATTAGTAATTACTCTTAAAACTGTTATTTCATTTTTTCTTCACTCGAAAGCAAGTAATTATCAAACATTCATTAACAGTTACTACTTGAATTCAAAACGTTTAGATTTTCTAAAATGCTGCTATCAAACTATTGCCACCACTAGAAGGGTATTTTTCAGTTTGGTAGACCAAAAGCCTGACAGGGTGTATTAATTTTGCTGCTTTTGCATACCAACAATTAACAGATACAGATTCTTATCAGAATGCTTGCTAGACACCCTACTTAAACAAATTCCAACGCATAATACAAGCAATTATATTTCGTCTAAGATGCATTACGAGTCTTTTATTGTCTGATTAAATATTTGATATTTTAGATACATTGTAGACATTCCTATACAAATGCGCTAAACATACTTTAAAATGAAGAAAAAAACCACACACTGTTTAGGAGGCTGCAAACTGTTTGCTAGTTACAGTAAACTTAAAACTGCCCTCTTTTTATATGACAAAAATGCCCTCGTTTTATATTTAATGTTAGCAGCACTTTAACCAGGGAATTATCCACCCACATATATTAGGCTCTATTTGACAATGCACAATGTGGGTGTTTTGTGCCATGTTCATTCCTGTAAGCAGTGGGGGTGATTTTGGACAAAAGAAACTGTTGGGGATGTTAATAACAAGTTGAATAAACAATATCAGATATTTGATAATCAGCACTGATTTATGTAGCAAAAAATTTAATAAAATTATACTTTTACCGCTGTCCTTAGAAATTCTATTATGGCCTCCTTATTGGGTCTAGTCACACTTGTAAGCATTACTGTCACATGCGACTGAGGCTGAAATACGGTCATGACTGCATATTGCACAAATCCTGGGGCTGGTTGGTCGAAAGCTGGTTAGCTTAACCCTGGGTTAACCGCCTAACAGATGACTGACTAGGAAATATTTTTCCAACAATCTTGTCCAGATATGAAGAAATACACCATTAATTAAGGCCCATTTCCACTCAAGAAAATTTTCCGCAGAAAGAAAAAATTTGTAAAATGTGATTTGGCCGACACAAATTTTCCATCGGAAAAAAATTTTGAAGTTGAAAATTTTCAACTTTTAACAATGACATTTTCAGAAAATTTTCTGCCCGTGGAAATTTTTCTTGAGTGGAAATGGGCCTTTAAAGTGTGATGAATGGACTGGGATTATGTGACACGAACATCCAACGTGCAATCACAGGCAGGCTGGACAAAGTGCTTAATTTTCAGTTGTTTTGCACCACTACCTAATCAAGTACCCGGTACATTAATTTAAGTATATAATCTGATAAGGAAGTTAAGGCTAACTGTTTATTACTAAAACTGCGGATGCACAGGGGCAAAACTTGAGGGGTATGGAGAGGGGGGGGTGGCACCCTCACAAAATACAAATCATCCCGATTGGCAGGGCAATCAAAGATTTTAAATGATAGAATGTAGAGTTATTAAGTAACTTGTTACAGCACCCACCAGATAATTTTACTTGTCTAAAGCAAGATGGTTTGGTCATCAAGGGGAGAGTGCTGGTGCTCAATGGATTAAAGAGCTTGGTTTAGGCGTTGAATTTCTATTGAATTTACTTTGTTGAATTTAATGCTTAACAATTTTAGTAGATAAAATAACCTTGACAACGTTGCACTTAATGTGCTGAGTTGAATTGTACCGTCCATTTAAAATGACTATTTCACTCTAAAAGAAAATTCCAAAGTTCTAAATTCAACAAATTAAATTAAACGGGAATTCAAATGTTGAAAACAGGCCTATGTTGGATCAGGTTTGACTCATTCAATATTGTCCAACATGCGTAGAGAAAGCGTCGGACATAGCTACAGTTCGGTCGGACACCAATACACTAGGGTAGGACGAAGAATAAACCTCAGAATGTCACGTGGTTTCCTCTCTACATCGGACAATATGACGAATGGGTCGGACAATGTCCGTGACCAACCAATATTTACGGCCTGCATTATTTTACAATGTAAATAAAAATGTACCCTTGTCCAGGACTAGAGGCTGGTATGTTATAAATGGAGAACCAGCCGGAAATGTTGTTTCTAATGTCATCAAGCGTGGGGTGGCGAGCAAAATGAAAAATGCTGTCAAAGTCGTACTGCAGCTACTGCTATTATTGGCAAGCAAGTTAATCTTGGCTTGGAAATAAGTATGACAGAAATTATTTAATATCTTCACAACATTTAGTTCAGAATTAATACATTGTGCTGATATTAATTATCAATTTGTGTCATTCAGACTTATTCCCAAGCCAAACTTAACTGAAGGTCATTGGCCATCATCATACATATGTCATCATACATAAACTCAAAGTCATTGGACATTTTGTCAGACAGTCCTGTAAAAGATATTTTAAGGCCTGCAATGATATCAGGAATTAATAGCTTAAACAACCCATTTGGCCATGTCTCTTGTTAACTCAATATGGCATGAATTGTGGCACTTACAGGTTAATTTAAATAAAAAATATCTGGGAGCAGTCCACCAACAGGAAGTGAACCTGTGGTTATGCAATTTAGGTCAATTCTTTGTACTTAACCTATTCCACTGCAATGTGACTCATGCTTCCTACTTCGATATATAGTATTACTCTGTTAATGCCAGACAATTTTATTCGACAAGGGGAAAAAAGTATTAGGTAATATGGCCAATGGAGATTGCAAATAATACTAGTCATTATCTTTGTTTAGCTTATTCAATTTCTGCAGCAAACATACTCCAATAAACTGGTCAAATATTTCTTTGGTTAGAAAAAGTATATCTGTTCATGACATGTTTAGACTAGAAAATAAATTGCTAAGTCCAATAGAGAACTGCTATTAAAGTGACTATAGCTAGCCTGTGATTAAATGAACCTTGAAATAAACACACTTAATTTCCCAAAACTTAAGCTCTTCAAGATATTTTAGTTGACATAAGGCAGCTATTCAGGCGATAGACAGCTGAACAGTAAAGTAAACGAAAGAAAATTCAACATATATACAGAAACACCTTAATTTATTTGCTAAGGGAAAACGTGCTAATCGCTCCTAAAAGCTCTTCCTAATATAATTAACAATTAAGAGCGAAAAGTGATTTAAAAACTCGAAAAATTAGCCTTCGCGAGTGGTTGTCACGGACACTTGTGAGGGGGATAGATGTACGTCTAATATCTATAAGTGCTTCTGATTTCTCGGACTATTAAATGAGTTTGAATCAATAATAAAATGTCAAAATTTGAAATGCACACATGAATAATAATTTGCAGCATTTCAATCGTTCGTGGGGTTTCAAATATTTAATATATATTAAGACGAGTTCAGATGACCTAAAAATTTATTTATCCCAAAATACTAGAAATTTCTCCGCCAGACTTGCGAGTAATTTTGTGAATTCTTTAAGAAAATATATGGAAGCCATTACATCTAAGTGTCAATTTCAAATTAGAATGTTTCATTCGAAAATCAGATTATTCGATTTCGATGTCGATTTCAGTGAAGCGTGGGGAATTTTTGAACATTCAATACAAGGTCAAAAGTTATTAAAGTATAAAATTGCTACATTTTTTCAAATTCTAAAAGGTTTTGAAACAAGTCGCGTTATTTTGCGTGACATGTTGCGTGTTTTCTCAGCGATCATCGAAATATAAACTCATTCACAAAATTGCTTCTTAATTGCGTAGGATTTCTATTAACACTACTTTATGTTAAAAGCAATATTTAAAGGGTATATTTTTTGTCAAAATGATTCGATATAAGTGGTTTATAAAACCAGCCGGTGTATTAAATATTTGTGTCACGCAAAACGCTACCGACTGCGTGAACTGGGCATTTTGGAACAATTTTACAAGCTAGAATTTAGGGTTCAATTTTGGGCAAATTTAGGCGAAAATAATATAACTGAGACCACTTACTATTGCCTGATTTTAAGTCTCGATGAATGAGGTTAATCGGTGCCTCGATGTGTAGGTAATTCATTCCTTTAGCCAGCTGGATAGCCCAATCTAAGAGCACTTCTGGCGGAATGTTTTTGCCATGTTGTGACAAAGCACGACAAAGTGATCCCCCTCGAGCATATTCCATCACCAAACATAGGTTGGGATCTTGCAAGCAAACCGCGTACAGATTAATAATATTTAAATGCGATAAAATAGAGAACAATCGTGCCTCGCTTAGCACATTTTCTCGTGTTTTTTCCAAGTCTTCGGCTAAATCTTGCCGAGCAACTTTTACAGCTACTTCGCGATTCTCATAGACGCCTCGGTAGACTTTGCCAAAACCCCCAACACCGATGACTTCGGTGAGATCGATCAGCGAAAATTCGACTTCTGAAGGGAGTCTAGCGTCCTCGGATTTTTCTGTTATAGTAGCATCGTCTGTTCCGACATAGTTTGATGGAAATAGCCCTATATTATGTCCACTCGTAGAACCAACAACTCTACCAACCCACCAGCCCTCATCTCCGCTAACGTCTTGGTCTCGACTTAAAATTTCGATTCGATCGCCCGCTCTGAACGTTAATTCGTCATCATCGTCGGCTCCGTAGTCATACAAGGCCGTACAAAACAGTGGCTCTTTTGGTGAGATCTCTGGCGAGCCAGAATTTCGACGATTCGTTGTATTTTCCATAGTTGGCGATCCAAGCCCAGAGTCAGTCGATTCAGGCATCGATGTTATATTTCACTCATTTGACGGGAAATTCCCGCAGAAGTTCACTTCAAACGCCAGGGAACCGATGAAAAACGGCCTCTAAAGCTTCCCCTATGTGTCAATTCATCGTAGCGTTCCTGTACACGAAATGTTTTCACGGTATTTTTCAACTCGGAACAAAAACACGAAATTTCGACATATTTTTGTTAATTTCCAGCCAGCCTGTACACAATAAGATCACGTGATCTACTCGGCTTCTGATTGGCCGAGCGCCTTAGACTCCGAAATTACGGTGGGGGCAGGGGGTACACTTTCATTGTGTGAAAATTTAATTTAATTTTTGGTCAAACGATATTTATTGAAAAATCACTACCAATTTAAATCGTCAAGAAGCACTTACACCCGTTTTCAAAATTGCGCGACCTACCCGAAAATAACTTTAGTTCAATTATCAGTTTTATGCACTGAGCTATAAGTTACTGTATAACTAAGTGATTTTGGTGGCCGGTGGGCAAAAAAAGTGAAATTTTAAATTTTGAGGTACGCCAAATAGCAAGCGTAAATAATATCGCAAACAACATATTCACCGAGTACATACAACATATATTAAGACCGTATTTAATTTCTTAAAAAAATATTCAATTATTAGTTATTGTTTTCGCCTGACTTTCGTCTTTGTATAGTTAAGCCATTTCCCACAAGGGGGATTTGTTCGCGCGAAGCAAAGTCTATACTGGCGCATTTTAGAGACAACGTGTCTACAATGATATTGTCGCATTCACTGAGACACAACCAGTGAGCTCTCTCCTCCATAGAGGCTTCTGTTGGCTATGATTACGATTAGTATTGAGATAGAGAGACCAGTGGGCACAACGTGTCCTTAATTAGAAGTGGGGAAAGTCGACTCGTTCAAATGCCTTAGTTGCCGTGCAAACTGTTGAAACTGCCATTAAATAAAATATAGTCATAGAAAGAAGTATTCTAACAAGACAGATGAAAGCAATGTTAAAACTGTAAATTTATGCGGCATCTTAGTCAAAATTGATAGCATTTTGTTCTACATATATGAGTTATTAACAGTCATTGTCATTAGAAATGGCTGTGTTTTGCATAATTAACTGCAATTTTAATTAACTGCAATTTTAATTAACTGCAGTTTTTGCGCCATAATTTTTAATCAGATCTAAATACCTGCAAACCTGCAAGTGATTTCGATTTCGCGGCTTGGCCGCTCGCTGGTACAAAATCGAGATGGACCTGTGCGGAAGTCTAGATCGATATATGTTCGGTCAGATGTGCCCCTCAGAATAGCCGTACGTATAAAGGTCTATAAAGGTCATAACTGAATATGTCATATATGGGACAAGTCGCTCCTTGACCGCAGAAGACCACCCGGATTGTCTGCGAAAGAGGCAAAATGACGACGTCATGTTTTCATTGTTTTCATTTACAAGTCGTATTGATACTAAATATTAAACAGATCAAAATATTGTAACAACCATCTTCGCATTCTAGTCAGAACAAAAACTGCACTAGATTTTTATGAGTAGATGCGTGTCTGCTGACAATTTTCCATCCCTTCCCAACTTTTCATCAGATTTGAATGAATCTGAAAACTGCACTACGTGACCCCCTCCCCTCCTCCCCCCTCGCGAACCCTACATTCCCGCTTAGCAGCACTAAAAATCCGATACATGACAATTTCTGGGGACATTGAGTTGGCCTCATTAACCCTGCTCGCAGGCTGTGACCTCATTTGAACTTTACCGTTGTCCGATACATGACACATTGAGTTGGCCTCCTTAGCGAGCAGGATGTGACCTCACTTGAACTTTACCTTTCGCTCAAAAAGTTTCGAGAATTTCGGAAAATTATCTTTGATCTTGCCGCAAACCATGTAACCACTATGACATCATACGCAACGTCGCTTTGGTTTGCTTTACACCCCATTAGTTTTGTCGGAATTTAATCATGATTTCTCTTACTCTTTCTTTCACAATTACCAAGTGGCAAGTATTTTTTTCCTTGAGTGTCTGGTGTGGTCAGTTCAAATTACAGATGCCATTTTTTAAAAAGAAAAAGCTGCGGTTAAGAAAATGACTGCCAGTCTGCAACTGAGTCAGCTTCTTCTTTTCAAAAAATGACATCTATACAGTAATTTGTAGTGCTTTCCAGATAATTGTAGTTGTTTTTCATACGAAAAATTTTGTATTGGTACAAATTAGGCTCGACAAATACACATGAAATCATGTAGAAATTTAATTATTTAATTGCTGTCATGTCTCTTTATCCATTCAGTTATCTCGTAAGTAAAGTTTCATTTCCAGTCAGGAAAATTTTCCGCAGAAAGAAAATTTTGTAAAATGCGATTGGCCGCCACAAATTTTTCGTTGGAAAAGAATTTTGACAATGATATTTTTGACAATTTTACTGTAACAATATTTTCGGAAAATTTTCCGTCCGTTGAAATGGGCATTATCATTTAAATGGTTTACATTTTCCCGTGTGTATACCCACGTAGGGCTAAGCCGCCTAAGTGGCGTTTTTCATACGCACGTATGGGCTCAACTGGAAACTTGGCATGCTTTTAATAAATTATGGTGACGTAAAGCAAGTTACGCTGTTTGACGCTGTTTAATTCATTATAAAATATACAACGTAAAAATTAGAACAGCTGAACAGATATTCGAGGAAGGCTGACTTACATTGTGGTTTTCAATACAACTAGCATTTTCAGTCGAAAAATATTGATCATTCAAACAGTTCTGCTGCATCAGTACATGTGTCCTTTGGAACACAATAAACTATCAAGTTTATATAACCAAGCAAATGATATGACACGCCGTTTCATCCGCTAAATTTTGGCATAGGTTATTGGGAGGGGAAAAAATAGGGGGCAGGGCTAAAGGAAATTACCCAACTTTGTTGGATTTTCCCAAACTATATAATCCGGCAAAAACTTTTACCTGATAAACTTCCAAAATTCTTAAATTTCCACTCGACAATTTCCACTCGAGTCTCGACATTTATAAATTTCCACTCGACACTTCTACAATACCTTTCATACACACATACCTTTGATCAAAGAAACTTCGAGAGTTTAAATGAACCTTTCTGTCGTGATGTTATACAATTTGCGGAGGCAGGGTTAATGTTTGAATCATGGCAGCAGGTCGAATCGCGATTCATTCATTAATTCGGTTCAATTCATGTCTCTTGATACTGATAATGAAGTATTATAGAAATTAGAAAGTGTTGCCTTTATCAGCTAATAACATAAAATGCGCATTCAAATGGCAAATTTATATCGAAGAAATTAGACCTCAAATGCAAATGAGAGTTGATGAGATTTGACAGTCGCACATTGTTACAGGGGACATTTCAAGCTCTAGATTAACAAAATAAAGATTTGATGAGTGTTTCAACTATGTTTTAACTCAAATGGAATACATGATAGTGTTAGGAAAGCATTGAAGAACAGCTAACCAAGATCGCGTGACTGCCTACTCTCATGCGCTCTCATTCTCGTTTCATCCAGGCTTCTAAAGCTCGAAATATTCAGCTTTTCTTCACATTAATTTATGATCGTAGGCGTAGATATCGTTGGGTAAATATCTAACAGCCAACTATAATGTCATTGGAATAACATATATGTGCAGAACGGTCGCTAAAAAAATGCTGGACAGGTGTTTTGGGTTAACTGCTCTTGAATAACCTGTGAAACAGTCACGCAATGAACTTTTTAATAGTTGCATGAATATATTTCGTACAGAATTCGTGGACACGCAACATTGTCAGTAATATTTACAAATTGTGGCGTATTTTTATTAGAACTTAAGTATATTTAACATTCACAATGGTTTCCTCAGCTTGACTTTGTCCTTTTAGAAGGCGGTTCCGCAGAATCGCCATCAGGCATTGTATTATGATCAGTGTCAGATTTATTTCCTGGATTATCTTTGAGATCAGCAGGATCTGGATCATTGTCGGAAGTTCCAGCAGGGATAACTGGCTTAACATCTGTTTTATCTTGCGTACTAGGACCCGGATTAGTTGGATTTACTGGAGGATTAGCAGCCGGATTACGATTTACATTGGGATTATCGGTGGAATCGTTCAATCCAGGATCAACCTTAATCCCAGTCAAGAGATAACCACCGGTGCCGTCCATCATGATGTGTGGATGAGTTCGCATGGTCAGAACCTGCACACAAGATAGAGGAAGAAAGGTCACTACATATAGACTTGAGCAGTAGGCTGATCTGACAGCCATATTGAGTGATCACTACGAATCTAAAGGCTCCTTTACACTTGCAATTTTTACTGCGATTTTAGGTGCGATTTTCTTCTTCTGAAGGATGTGAACGAGTTATGAATGTTCAGATGAGGGTACACAAATGTACACATACTCAGAACACAGAATACTACACAGAAGTCCATCTCCATTGTTTTTTGCGTAAGCGTTATGATTCGTCACTCAGCAAGTAACGTAAACAGAAGCAGTCACCCCCCTGGACGTTCGCCATTTTTAGTATTTCCAGGGGGGTACTGCTTCTGTTTACGGTACTTGCTGAGTGACGAATCATGACGAATAGCGCTTACGCTAAAAACAATGGAGATGGCCTTCTGTGCAGTATTTTGTGCTCAGAACATTCACAACTCGTGGACATTCACAGCACGACGTGGACATCGTGAATTTAACACAATGAAAGCTCTCCCGCCGTTTCTGTTCAGCGGAGGATCTTCCTGTGTGGAAGCTGGCCTTTACCTTTACATGCATGTTCAATCTGTCTCTTAGTTTACTTGACACGCCCAGTTTCAGGAAATAGAGCCACGTTTACTCAAACTCTCTGAAGCAGTGACTATGTTGAATTTCGAGTTTAACTATTCCATTTAATTTTTCGCTTGCCTGAATCCTTTAGTGAGTTTGAGTTCGCGATGTTCTATTTGTTATCATGATTACTATTTTGGAGGTGGGTGCCCTGCATGGGACCTTTTATAAAAGTCCCGTTCGTACCTTACCTTTTTGGATCTACATTTGATATCTAGGTTATTTTAACTTAATGTAATATTTGTTCTGTTATATTCTTTTGTTTGTTAAAAATTGTGAATATCGATCCAAATAAAATTTGTTAAATTAAAATAAATTAAACTCATCATCCACTCGTTCACATCCAGCAGAAGAAAATCGCACCTGAAATGGCAGCGAAAATTGCG